ATGAGTAAAGGATCTTGATTGGGATGAACAGCTTCCAAATGATATTGAAACTGAATTTAAGAAGTGGCTTGCAGAAATAATAATTCATTTACAAGAAATATCAATAGATATAAAATACTTTCAAAATGTTGACAAGCAAAATAGTGACATTTCCTTACACATATTCTGTGATGCGAGTAATAACGCATATGGATGTGTGGCATATTTCAGATATACGAATAAGTTTGGTGAAATCAAAACAAGTTTTATATTAACAAGGACCAGAGTAGCTCCTGTTAAAAGCTTAACATTGCCCCGGTTAGAATTGATGGGAGCAGTCATGGCAGCTAAACTTGCAAAACATTTAACTAAATTATTTAATCATGTTTGTCAACAGATATATTTACAGACAAATTCGCAAATCGTATTACACTGGATCAAAGGATCTTCTAGCAACTGGAAACCTTTTGTCTCTAATACGGTTGCAGAAATTCAAGCCTTGACAAATCCCAATAACTGAAACATTGTAGCAGTAAGAAAAATCCTGCTGATTTATTAACCAGAAGTTTGGGTGTAAATTCTCTGAAGAATCATTCACTTTGGTGGTTTGGACCAGAATGGTTACAAAACCAACATAAAAACTGGCCAGTTCAACCAAATTTTGACATGGAAAATGAAGAACAACTAGAACACCATACTAATTCAGAAGTCAAATAACAAAAATCAGCGTTATATTTTCAAAATTTTCGGACTAGTTTCGATGGTTTTACCGAACCACCATCTTCAGCTGCAAAACTGCAAATGAATGTTTGAAATTTTGAAAATATAATGCTGATTTTTGTTGTTTGACTTCTGAATTAGTATTTATTTGGTGTGTTATTGTGTCTTAATTATAGAACACCATAGTAAAATATCTGTTTATGATATTGTTGTGAAAAGAGATGATCAACTGTTTCATATAACAAAATTCAGTAATGTGCTGAAATTTCTCAGAATTGTGGCATGGATTAAACGTTTCATTGCTAAGGCAAGAAAACTGCCTGCTAATAGTGGCACATTAAGTGCTTCTGAAATTCAAGATGCTGAAATATTTTGTGTTCGTAAAGTTCAGATGGATTTCTTCACACCTGAGATTAAAGCTCTTCAATCTAACAAGTCAATTTCCACAAGTTCTAATATATTCAGTTTGGCACCGTTTCTTGATGAAAATAAAATTCTTCAAATTAAGGGATGATTAGAGAAATCGAATATACAGTTGACGATCACATCCAGTTCTTCCTAAAGATTCCAAATTTACTTAATTAATTGTAAAAAGGGAACATAATAATGTTCTGCACGCAGGAGTTGCAGTAACTTTAACCAAACTACGACAGAAAGTTTGGATTCCTAAAGGCCACCAGTTGGTGAAGAAAGTCTTAGGGAACTGTTTAATATGTCAAAAATATGCAGTAAAACCAGCAAAAGAAATGACAGCTCAGTTACCTAAAGACAGAATTGTTGAAACTCCACTTTTCTATGTTACAGGAGTGGATTTCACAGGTCCAGTTTACATGAAGTCTGAGATGACATTCAGAAATCATACATCGTATTGTTTACATGTGCTGTTACACGAGCGTTCCATCTATAACTCATTTCCAATATGTCTGCAAACAAATTCATTTTGGCTCTTAGACATTTCATTTCGAGAAGAAGAAATTGCCGCAGCTTTTATTCAGACGACACGAAAACTTTCAAATATGCTGCCAAAGATTTACAATATTTTTACAGCATAATTAAAGGAACAGACTTTCAAAATTTTCTAGCAAATGAAGGTTTGACTTGGAAACTTATCATGGAGGTTGCTCCATGGTAGGGAGCTTTTTATGAATGCCTCATGAAAAGTATTAAGGAACCATTGAAAAAGATATTAGGCGGAGCTCAATTAAATTTCAAAGAATTTATGACTGTGCTGACAGAAGTCGCAAATATTGTGAACAGATATTCTTTGACCTACGTTTATAACGATTTATATGTACTTGAATCGCTTTCACTGGCTGATTTTCTATTGATCAATCATAAAGATGAATATCCATACAACTTTGCTGAGATCTTGAATAGCTCTCCAACAAGAGAGAGTCTAATAAAACGAAAAGAATATCAGACAACACTTATAAAACAGTTCTAGAAAAACTGGAAAAATCAGTATCTTCTTGATTTAAGAAATGCTCACTTCTTCAGTACACCTGAAACTAGAAAAATCTTAAAATTGGTGATATAGTTTTACTTGAAGGAACTAAATCTAAGTTTCTCTGGGGTTTAGGTAGAATAATTCAAGTTTTTAAAGGACGTGATCGTCTTGTACAATCATGTGCGATAAAAACTAAAAAAGGGGACTCAGTGAGACCTGTGCAATTGATATACTCCCTTGAACTATCTGACTAAAAATAAACTAATTTTGTAATTTTTTATTTTATTTCTTATATTTCATGTTCACTAACATTAATTTTAGTTACTAAGTTTAGTTATTACTAATAATTTACTGTTTATAATTCGAATTAATATTTACTTATTTAGTAACATTTGAATTCTATGCTGTTAACTATATTTGTTTATTTTATAGAATTCCTCTTTTTTTTTTTTTTTTTTTTTTCTGTTTATGTTTACATCAGGTAAATGTAATTTATATTGATATGTAAGTAGCTTTCTTACATTTGAATTATTTTGCATGCTCAAACAGCGATAATTTTTGCAAGGTGGCGAGTGTTGAAAAATCCCACAAATGATTTTTGTATCGCCGTTAAAGGGCGCTCTACTTCTGAGAAAAGAATGTTAGTTAGCTCAATTTGCAACGAGTAGATTATAACCACCGATGTGCTTCTGCTTCTTATTGTAAATAAAATTATTATTTTTGTAAACCGCATTGAAGTTGCCTTCTATTAGTATTAAATATGATCAAAGCTCTCAAGGAAGTCATTATATATTGTTTTTTTTATAAAGGGTTAACACAAAGCTGGCTAAGAAGCTTTCTAACTGGCACAACAATTAAAAGACGGCGGCTATAATGCAAAGGCGAATAACACAATCTTATCTGCGTTAGGCAGAAATCTAGTAATGTGGTCTCAAGAGGCAAACACACATTCTGTTGTCTTACAGTCCCAAACCCTTGACTTAAAATGGTCTCAAACTAATTTGCATTCTGGTAAGGAAATGAAAAAGAGAAGTGATAGTGAAGGCTGAAATTATAAATAGCTGGTTAATTTAAATAACAACCTTATAAACTATATGGTAAACTATCTTTCTCCTTTTAGTGAATTACTGTCATATCCATTTTAAATAAAAGCTTGTTATATAAAAACCTTTTCTTTAATTTCATTCTTTTTGTCTTATTGTTTCTATATTGGACTTCCTTGATACAATTAGTCAAATATTTAGTTAACAGGTTTTCTACTTAATTTTGATAAGATTTACAATAAAAATATTCCTTTGAGAATTTGTCATTCTCAAAGTCAAGAATATTTTTCTTTTCCCAAAAGGACCCAATTAAGTTTCCTTCTGATGTTAAAGTACCTAATGGCAGTTTTTTAATTTAAGAAACATTTAACTGTCTGAAAACTAGAACTAAAAAGTTACATTTCTCATATACAATGGTGCTTCTATATTCAAGAGAATTAAATTCCAAAATTTAACAGTGTTGCATAAAGCTATGAATGAAAGTGAATACTAAACATAATATGATACTCATGTTACTTACATAAATACGAAAGAGTTTAACTGATAAAAATATTATCAGTATTAAATGAAACAATAAAGTGTACTATTCACCATACCAATGTTCCTAAAACTGTAATCTGCAAACGCCAAGTGGTCCATGAAGTTTCTACGTGCTTATTTTGGTAAGGACAGCATATACTGTGCTCTTTTTGCATAGCTTTTATACCATTGCTTAACAAACATAATACAGAGTGGCCAAAGTAACACTGAACCCAAAGTAAGTAAAGAACATAAGGTGATATTATATGATAAACCAAACAGTACATGGGAGACTTCACTTGCTTTGGGTTCGATTTATCTTAGTTCACTCAAGTTAGTATTTTGTCCTTAAATTCTGAGACAAAGAAAAAAGCATGACATTCAACATGGCAACAGTGGGTAATAAATAAAATGGTTAAAGAACATTAATACATGGTGACAGCAAATACACATAACAAATAATAAATAAGCAAAATGGGCAGAACTGGCAATGCTTATTCTATAGTAACCATAGACAACAAAATGTGAATATGAAACCCAATAGCATGATATGCAGTCATTATTTACCACTCGACTATTGGAAGTTGCATTAGAGCAGGTAATTTGATTTAACCAAAACTTTTTTTGTTTAAAAAACAATATGAAGCCACAAGGTGTATTAAAACAGGTGGCAAGCTGGATTTGACCTGCAGGCTATAGTTTCCCAACTACTGCCATGATAGGCAAGTATTCATAAATATTTTACTTTCTTCATGTGGTACATAATGCGTGCACATACTCGAACATTTGTATATAAAAATGTATACTATGAAAATTTGATTTTTTTGGGGGGAGGGGAATTAAATATTTCCTTTTAAAGTACCATAGTACTATGCATCTGTTTTACTTGAACAGCTACTATTAAAACCTGCAGCAAGCAAGTTAATAAGAAAAAGCAGCATATCTATAAACTAAATATGAATTAAGTTACTACAGAAAAAGTTACTTTCAGCTAACATATAATTTTCATTGCATCATATAATGAAAAAATGCAATACAAAATTTTAAGCTAATTCAACATATGAAAATTTAAGGATTAATTCATAATATAGCATGAAAAATGAAAAATATTATAGGAGCCAGTTTTTTTCCTTATTCAAAATTTAAACATATTTTTTTCTAAATTAAGTCAAGTAAAGAAAATTACCAAATATTTTATAAATATAGAAAATTCCTCGACATGTTAATCAAATGGAATAATCCTTACAAAACAACCAAATAGCTTTGTAATATATTTTGTAATGAGCACTCACCAGTTGCTAAAACTAAAGCTAAAATTCCACCAGTGCTTGTTCCTGCTATTAAATCAAAATGCTGGACAACAGGTTTCCCAAGAATTCTTTCAAGCTCATCAAGCATCTGAATAAGAACCATTCCTCTTATTCCTCCTCCATCCAAACACAGAACACGACAACTTGGAAAAGATTCAGTGTTTGGAGGATTCTGGTACTGATTTGGATGATATCCAGTTGACAATAACACTTCCTCAAATACTAAGAATTAAAACACAGTGAATGTATTTGATTCATAGAAAATATCAAACATATTAACAGGCACAAACATCTTTATAAAATTTTTCGTCTCTAATTTTAGACTTAACTAATTATTTTAGACTTAAATAATATTATATTCTGAGGAGAGCATCTAACTTTAATGCATGCTTAATGTATTCAGAGTAGTCATTTGTTCATAATGAAATATGTGCAGGGTCTTAATTTCACTTCAACATTAAATAAAAGATCTACATATTAAAGAAACAAAATCATTTATTAGCATCAATGTGTATGATCAAAAATTTGGTTCCATAGCCACCTTTTTGCTCAGTATACATCTAAAACGAAAACATTCTACATGAAAACAGTGCTTATTTTACATCTACTGAATAACTTGGAACTCTGATGCTGACTTAGCAAATATTTTTTGTCATTTTTTGCTTTCATCGCCACAAATATCAGCTCACAACAGCTTGAGAAATGACTCATGCAGCGATGTCTACAACAATTTTGGTACTTCTTTTTAAAATGGCCCCCCAAGACTGAATCGCCAATCAACTGAGATATCGCACCAAAATCTGGCTATGTGTTCTTATATATGTCCATGTGCTCATATATTAGCAACAGCTGTGTATTCTTATACCTCACCAGATAATCATATAATACCACTGTGTTGCATTTTCGCTGTTGCAGCATGTTTCTTATATTATTCATTTTTCATAAGAAGATTATAAGTTTTTCAAACTGGCAATGTTTATTTAAAAATAATATACCACGTAATGAGATGGTTGCCATATAATTTTTTCAAGAGGTCTTTTACCTGAAAAATGAGTATGTGAAAATGGCCACAACGTAAATTTAATGACAAAAACCATTTGGAGGTGCAACATTAAAATCTGCAAAAAGAGGCCTCTGTGTTAAAAATTGGTGAAGTGGTTCCAGAGCATCGTTCATCACTGTTATTAGATTTATGTATTCTTGGGCAGAGATGTTCACGTTCATGAAATGGCATAACAAACAGCTTAATATGTGTGAAAATGCTGCAATTGACTAGAACAATTACAATGCAATAAAATAATAAGAATAAGGATTCTAAAAATATTCTTAGGAAACAACATGCAAGTATTATTGTTATTATTATACTTTCTGCTGTTTATTTTTATATTTGTGATTCACAAGCTTGGTGAAATTATAGCCGAGATCTTGGGCGCAAATCTAAAATCACCAAATATAGTTGAGGGCCACCATAACAAAGAAGTACCACTTTTTTTAAAAAATATTAGTAACTGAATACCAAATACAGCAGTAAATTTTTATCACAATGGTAACAGACTTCACCCAACTGCAAGTGAATTCATAAGGAGAAATTTAATACAAATTTCTTTCCATAAGCAAAAAATAGATTGTGTAAATGATACTCCTTGGCCAAAAGATAACATTTACTGCTGTTTGAATTAAGAATAACTTATGTGTTATTCAAATGAGATTTAAGTATATGTGGGAATTTATTTATTTGTGACTTGGAGCACATGCAAGAAATATATGTTAGTACAGTAAATAATTAAGCTAATATAATTCAGGCTTAACTTCCAAACATCTGATAGAAGCAAGACAAAATTTGGCTGAAAAGCATGTCTTAAATAGACAATTTCATGATACATCACCAACAGTGTAAAGCAGATGCAAGCTATATGAATATAGCCATGAATTTGAACTTTTCCAGATATTAGAAAAAATAAGAGAAATTTTCCAATAAGTGGAATTTGTGAAGAAATGTGTAACTGGTAAGAAATAAAGATGCATGGCAATGCCTCAATAATCAATCAACTAACTTGCTGAGAAATCAGTAATATGGTTCTAAATTCAGAAAATATCACTACAAACAGCGAAAAATGGGACACAGAGGCTGTTAAGCGTGAGAAAATTTTGCCTAACAATATCGCAGAAATTCAAATATAAATTAAAGAATTTGAAGAACAGACTCTTATAACTGGCCACCCAGCCGGTATAGTGGTCAGGGAAGCTAACTGCGATGCTGAAGAGCCTGGGTTCAAAACCCGGAGAAGGCATGGCTGTAACTGTCCGTCCCTTCACAGGAAAGGCAATGGTGCCACCTATTAGGTGCCTCCATAATAAAGAGACCACCACATCCGGCCTTGTATAGATTAATGGACAGGGTTACATTTGTAATTGTTCACAATCTGCCATTGGAAAAAAAAAAGTAGACTCTTATAACTGAATAAGAAATTATGTCTATCTATAAAATTAAAGAGAAAGTATTAAAAAAAAAAACCAGAGCAACTTAAATAATTTACACTGAAAGAAATATTTAATAATTAAATATTATTCAAATGATAATAAAAAAAATAAAATACTTTTACTTAATGATAATTTTAGCTATTTGTGGTTCCATATAGTATTCCAAAATACTTTCAAAATCTGATTTTAACTTGAAGAACAACTAGTGAAGTGCTTGAAGTCTCCAGATTCTACTAAACATTCTAGCTTGAAGATATCACAGGTTCAAGGCTTACCACCATAATGAAAATGCTTGAAAAAAAGGTTAAAGCTCAAAGAATCCAGTTTCAATTTTTGTCTTCAGTATTATTCTTTTTGCTTTTGCATTAGATGTTACTACCATAAATCTAAAACTTTTAAATTGTACTAAAAAGTTAGATTTAAAAATATATGGCGGGAAGAAATGTTCAAATAAACATCCTAAGCTTCATCAGAATCTCAGTTTCTCTCTTAAAATAAACTAAGAGTACCAATGAAAGTTTGGATTTTTAAAAGATCCCTCATATCTCTGAAAATACCTAAGCTGAAATGGTTCTTCAAAAGAAAAAACTGCATTGTTAGAAATAATTTTCTCTCCCTCCTGTTATACATATGTAATATATCATATATTAATAAAATTGTAATATAAATAATCATACTGTAATTTTATAATTATACATTAATAAAATTGTAGGTTATTAAACCCAGATTATCCATGGAATATTTAATTAAGGCAATTTCTTCCCTAAAAATTAAGTTCAAACTGGATTAAATAAAAATGAATAAACTAAAATAATAAATTATTGGTGGTTATTATTTATTGAAATAAGGCTGACATCATCAGTGGGTATAAGACTTTTTTTTATTAAACCTTTCACAAAATTATGGGACACTGATTAATGTATCTGCCTTATCTACACCATTTGAAAGAACATTTAAAATGTTATATATCTAATTAATTCTCAAATAACTCAAAAAGTTACTCATACATCAAATCAGTCTTAAAAATTTAAAAGATGTGTACATTAAGTAAAAATTACTAGAAATGAAATATAAATAATAAGTAAAATACAATTTATAAATCTATATCAAAAGCCTGTCATTGTTACAAATAATTACAAAAATAAGCTCTATAAAAAATTTCAATTTTTATTTATTATAGTAATTCCACTTTTCAAAATTATTATTTAAAAAATTAATTGTTCTCAAGAACATAAAAAAGACCATTTCTGAATAACATTTTTTTTATGCAAAGTAGCAGCTTGAAAATTTGAAATGATTTTTATATAATTTTGTATGATTTGATTTGAAATGATTTTAAAAGCAGCCATTTTTAGCTAAAAATCTTCAACTAAATTCTTACATGTAAGCATTGTTTGGTTAACAAAACTGGAACTCTCTTCGTGGAGAATTTTTCTTTTTACAAATAAGCCGGGTTTAATAAGCTACAATTTTATTAATTAAATTGCTTTAATATTAGCTGCATTAATGCAAAATTTTAGCTTATTGTCCATATAATCACTTATATATACACCGAAGAGCCATTACATTATGACCACCCTCTATCTATCACAATGGGCTCGCCCAAGAACAAAACTACTGCGCAAACACAGTTGATGACATATATAAAGCAGCTATGCATTGTCTTTCTAAACTTAGCGCAATTAGCAACATAATGGGAAAAGCAGCTTATTTATCAGACTTCGATAAAGGTAAAATCGTTATGGCTGGGAACATCAATATCAGGAATGGTGCATTTAGTGGGCTGTTCATGTGCAGTTCTTGTGAGCACATACTGAAAGTGGTATATGGATGGTGAAACAACAAGTCGCCAGCCAACAGTGTGTCATCGATGGCACATTGATTCCAGAGGACAGCAGAGATTGCAACGCATTGTTCACCATGACTGAAGAGCTACAACAGCCGAAATCACCACCAGCTAAAACAATGACGATGCAGACCGTGTTTCTCAACATACTTTGCAATGTACATTGGTGCGTAGCCTACGCAGCCAGAGGCCGTAGCATGTCCCTGCATTAATGGCAAGTCATCACCAGCTGCATCTAGAATGGGCCAAGAAACATAATTGGACATTAGAAGAATGGAAGAAAGTTGCATGGTCCAACAAATCATGGTTTCTAGTCCACCACAAAGATGGGCATGTACTAATATGCCAATTTTCAAATGAACCTTGGCTCTCGGATGCACAATTGGATATAGACAAGCCGGTAATGGGGTAATTATGGTGTGGACAATGTTTTTGTGGAGCACATTAGGACCCATCCCCATGGATCAATCCCTGATGTCTGTGCGCTACGTGAACATCGTTTCAGACCAGGTTCACTTACTCATGACAACAGTATTTCTGACAGGGGATGGTGTTTACCAACAGGATAAAGCACCATGTCATAAGGGTGGAAACAACAGGGGATGGTTCAAGGAACATTCCAATAACTTTCAAGTCATGTCTTGGATTCCAAATTCACCTGTCATTAATCCAATGGAGCATTTCTGGTCTCACCTGGACCACCAAATTCATGCTGCCACGCGACCCCCTCGCAATGTGCGGGAATTACGGGATCAGTTGGTGAGCGCTTGGTACCAGATGCCTCAGACTACGTATCAGGATTTGTGGAGTCAATGCCACGCCAAGTGCATGCAGTTTTGCGGGCTAAAGGTGGTCCTACATGTTATTAACAGGGTGGGCATAAAGTAATGGCCCTTCAGTGTATATACTGATGGTAGGCTAAAAAACACTACTCGTTGAATGTTGATTTCATGTTATAAGTTACACAAGATCATCTAGATGCTTTGCAATATAGTATAGTATTTTTTGTTTGTACTAGCTGATACAAATAGAAAATAAGACAAACTGCTCATATAAAAAATGATGCAGTTATTCAATTAATATAGTCAGTGGTGTATCCTGTTAAAAATGTAATGCTCTTTGGTGTGTGTGTGTATATATATATACATATAGTTCAAATATATATGTTATGATAAAAACAATAAATATATATTGTTCAAATTATACATATATAATATATTGTTCAAGTATAAAAAAAATAATGCAATCATTTTGACTCAAGATAGCAATTTTATTTCCTGCCGAGATGCAGATATTATGCTTAATGTTGAGAAACAGGAAAGAGAATGGAGACAGTTAAATCATTTTTTAACTGAAGTTTCTTTAAACATAAAATAACTGTTTTCATTAATGCCAGTTCAGCATTTAATAAATCTTATACTTTTTCTTATACTGGACACAAGTAAGATTCAATGAATTTTGTGTTAGGATCTGAAAATTTTGAGCATGCAACTAGGCTAGTAATTTATCACATAAAAATGCCCTATGACTATTATATAATAGGTTTAAAAATAGATATACATAAACGAAATTTATAAGCAAATAATACTGAAAAATAGACGATATACATGAACTGGTAACAGATAAATTTGCTCATGCCCAAATGCGACTTCAGATGAGTTTAAAATATATATCAAGTTGTGCTATTTGAGCAACTATAAAAACATCTTTATAAACTTGTCAAGGTGGGTAAACTGTTCTACATTTCTTCCACAAAAATCAACAAGCATTAAGAAGCAACAAGGGGGACAAGCATTAAAAAGGTGCATTACTAACAAAATTAAAATATACAAATAAGTAAAAAACTCTTATAAGCATATATCTAATTTAATATAAGCATACAAAATATTTAGCATTCTTAAATTAAGAAAATAAATATGAAGATCATATTTTTTCTATTGTGATCTGTATAGAGTCCAAAAAATTCTGAAATTACCAACCTAAAAATTTAAATATTTTTATTGCACTATTTACATCTAAAGACTGCTATCCTGAAGGGTTATAAAATTTCATTTTTCTGACTTCTCAAGAAAACAGTTTAATTTTAACCCATTAAATTATAAATAAAACAATCTTTCTCTCCCCTTACATTCCAAATATTTAAACATGTTTTCCTACTTCACAATTACAGTTTTAACTAATATACAACTTACATGTTTCAGTTTTTTTTGAGAAAGCACAATTTTCTGGAGGAATACCATTAAACTGTCCATAACTATTACAGCCTTCATTACATGAATGCATAGGAATTGAACATCGCTCTGCTCCAATCATATGAAGAGCGTACAATATTTCTCCTAATGCACACTTCTTTTCAGTTGCAGCTAAATGCCGAGCTGTTTCGCCTTTATTGTTAATCACATTCACACTGGCACCAAATGTAATGAAAGTCTGTACAAGGCATAAATCTCCACTCTATAAGAAAAAAATATTAAATATCAAATTCTTATAAAACATATCAGGAAAACTAATCTCTTACAAGATATATCATTGTATCTTTCAATATAAAATAAGGTATCAAATTATTAGACATGTTAAAATCAAACAAATATTTTTCATTTTTATTCAATGAAACAAATATATTTCATTTTTTATCAACAAATATTTTTCTAATTTTTAAAGCTACTTAATTATTGTTGAAAATAAATAAAAATAAACTTCATAATGAAATATACGCATTAAACATATATTGCTGAATCTTTTAATATTTATATTTCATTATGAAGTACAACAATATACTTTTATAATCTTTACTGATTCATTATTTGCAACACTTTCTTTCAATTCGAATCAACAAACATTAAATTCAATATAAAAAACTTGAGAAGGAGAAAAGGAGATGAAATACGCTTCCATACTAAAATATTTCAATATTTGTATTTCAATAACAGCAGTCTATCTAAATTTTCTATTTACATTTCCTAATCTTCACTTCTAAGACACTGAATTTCTCATGTATATTTCCTGAATCTTCAGACATAATTTTCTATAAGATATATCCCTTGATTTCAATACCATGAAGAGGAACAATGAAATGAAATGTTAAAATACATATAGAAAACATTTTTGTTTCTTAATTACTAACTTTCAGTTTATTAACAAAAGGCCAGGAAGAAGTAAGCCAGACATCAGAGCTTTAGTGGCCTCACAGGTATTATTCCACCTCACTAACGCTACAGTTCTTTCAGAATTTTGACATAGCACATCCTGTAGGGGCAGATCCCAAGGTCTCTTACCCTTCTTTCCTTGTTATCAAACTACTTGAAAGGAGCTCGCCAGTATTTTAAATGCTCTTATGCTGCAGAGATACTATTCACTAACAAATACCCCTATCTTCTCTGAGAGATTCAAACCCAAGCACCATGATATGTTAGCCAACATTGCTAATCATCATATCAATCAGAGCAGCATTTATTAACAACAGCAGTATTCCTATTAAAATTAGCAATTCATAAAAATCTTTTATTCTAAAATGCACTTAATTTTAGTGGCACTAAACTTTAAAGGAAGGTATAGTTAACTGAAGAAATTCATTTTGAGTCTTTATTCTTAACATGTCTTCTATATGACTTGACATAACCTTTAAATACACTCACTCAGTATTTCATTGATAATATAAATCCTAAATAATTTAGCTTAGTATTTCCTGGTAAATTCATTTAATTCCCATTACATATATGCATATTTGTAAACTTTGTTTTATTTTTGTTTACATGCATATTAGCATGATAGTACATCACAAAGGTGCAGAGTATAGAAATTATAAATATACTAATGATAAAATTTAAACTTTTACATTTCTACAAATGTTAGTTATTAAAAAGCTAATATAATAAAATAACATACATTTTTAATGATCTCACACTGTGAGAACTTAAATGAAATTAATTTTAATTATCAAATAAAATTGTGAACATTTCCATATGACAAAACAAACTTGGAATAATCTATCAGCAGATGAATAATTAGGAAATAATTATTCTCATGCATAATTTATAAAATCACAACATTAGTAAGTTCAAGATACATAATACTCAACAAACAAGATCACAGAATTTATTTCTTAAATATTGATCCTAGAACCATATTTTCAAAAAATTTTTTTAGATACAGGACCATTTAAAAGCAATCTCAACATTATGGATGAAAAGGATTTTTAAAATACATATTACTTTATATCTGACTGCACAAAACTAAAATTCCAATTAGTAAAATGCTTATTATGCCTTAATTAATTAAAAACAAGTTTTACACAGTTGCGGAGACCTTACTCCAAAATAAGATTGCCAGCTACCAATTTAAAACACAATACTATTTTATTCAAGCTGAAAGTAATGATCACAAGAAGCTCATTTTTAGATGCTCACTAAATCTGTGCTCATCAATTTAGAAAGTCAGTAATATTGGAAAATAAACTAAGTAAATTTAACTCTCAAATATCTACACATATTTTTAAAAACTAAAAAACTGCTTTAATTAATTGAAGAATTCTTTACTAATTGGAATTTTTACTTTATGTAAAATGTAAAATTATTCTAAGGAAACTTCTCCGATACATTTATAGTTTCCTGTCCATGATTTTGTGTTCTGACAAAACAGAAAGGAAAAGAAAAGAACTCGGATATATTTCTAGCAAATCTCACGAGTAAGTGATCTGGTGAAATACATGCATAGCTATGTCTTGAATAATTAAATCAATTCAGAAATCTCCAATAAGCACTAAGTAATAATGAAATAATCTAATAAATTTTCCTAATTGTTTATCATTTTGAAAAGATCATTTTAAGTGAAAGATTTTACTTTTCATATTCTAATTTCTGTGGAAATTCTTAAATTAGTAGGCTTTCCTAGCTACTTATTGTAAAATTGGTGTCAAACTAAAATCTAAACTCTCAGATCAGATTGTATTTTTTTTTATCTTATGATTCCTTTTAACTTTTTAAAATTTCAGTGGCAAACTCTTCAGTGGTGTTAAACAGTAATCTGAACTTTTCAGTTCACACTTTTTTAAAACAGAAATTGCTCTTAAACTATAATCACTACCTTCATAAAATTCTACAGCTTATTTTACAAAACTAAGAAACTGAAAATAGAGACAATTGATAAAGTTCACAAACTCTTTTCAAGTATCTTGCATATCAAAAAAAAGTATAAATACAATATTTTAATCATTTTATGGTTGTAATTAATTTAATATATTTTACTACCTCTATTACATTTAATATCATTACAAAAAATTAAATAAATAAACAAAATAAACAGTATTTATCAAATATCATAAAAACTCTTGTTTAAAACTGAATTGGTTAAAATTACCAAATGTCATGAAAATGCTAATTTAAAATTATTGGAGCATATACTTTCACAGCAAGATGAAGTGCTGTATTTCCCTCATTATTCTGGATGTCTGCATCAGCGTGATGACTAAGCAATACAACAGCACAAGAAAGCCGACTGCGCTTCACCATGACATGCAGTGCAGTATCACCCATAAAATTTTTAGCATTTACATTACAACCATGCTCAATAAGAACTTCAGTTAGCTAAAACAAAAGATAGTTTTGTCAGGTACCTTTTAAAAAAAATAATTATAAATCAAAAACAGCATGCATTTTACATAAAATAAAGACGGATTTACTAAGACTAAACAGAAATAAATTTGGAATTGTAAATGGAATAATATAGAATACAAAGTCTGTAATCTGGACGTCCATTATCCGGAATGATTTATAATCCGGACCTCAAAGCCACAAACTTTATGCATGCGTGTAATGTATGCTTTACGCACCCACGCATTGAAAGAAATGTTTAATAAAGTAAAGAAATAAATATTAAGCTTCTTTCTTTTGTAAAATTTGATACCCTTTAAATCATAATTGTTCTTTATTTCATAAATTACGGTTTCATATTTTTAATTGTATAATTTCTGCATGCCATCTTAGCAGATTTAAATTAATGATCTATAATCTGGAAAAACCCCTAATCTAGAATCGACAAAATCCCAACAAGTCCGGATTATGGACTTTGTACTGTATATGGAATGTGTTTATATAAAAAATATAAATATGATAATATACATATAAATATGGAATAAATAATAAATATAGAATACACATAAATACAGAATACACATAAATTTGGATTATGTTTTCTTATTTACTCGATTTACCTACCACATTTTACTTGCCTATTTTAATAATTTATCATCTGTATACATTAATATAACACTGAAACATTTTTGATAATAAAGCACAATAAACGCAAATTAATTAGAGAACAGGAAATAATAAATAATTAATATTCGCATAGGGTTTGGAATATAAGGTCTTACAGGACAATTTACATATCCGGCCTTAATATTCTTAGTAGATCAAGCATGTTGAAGGTCAGGATCACGTGTGAATCAACTGGCCTTCCTTTCGCATCTTGATCTGCCTAGCACCACAGACATTTTGGTCAGTTAACTCGGAGACAAACTCTTCTGAGACACACAGAAGGTCGATCTCCGAGATCACACCTCTACAGGAATTAAGTGTTTTGTGTGCTGACACAGTTATAGATATTTGTCCAAGTTTGGTTTGTCATGAAAGGGAAGCAGACTGGGCGGACGATACAGTATCAATAAGCAGATCTCCTGATCGGAGACGCTTTATGTTCCTTGGCTCACCTATGCATTAATGGATATATTTGCTTACTAGAAAAGGGGACATCTTTTGCAGTTCGCCAGAAGGACTAGAGACAACAAGGAAGTGCAGATTCTCAGTAGTTTCCTTGGCATTTGCATCTGTACGTCTTTTCTTATTTGGAGATTTATCAATAACCTCAATACTTTGGTTGCTTTCATTTGATTTATGAAGAAACATAGAAGCCATGATTAAAATAGGAATGATTTGGTTCCCATGGCCCTGCCCACTACAGAGCCCAAACAAGGGGACACAGAATCCTGTGTTAGGGCTAGCCAGACCTATACGCAAACTGAAGCCCCACAGTCGGCTTTTCCGAAAGCAGGTACTCCCAAGAGCTTATCAACAAGCCACCGGCACAAGAACTAGTGACCAGTCAATTGACACCCGTGAGGGTGACTAAGGTCCTCCTGTTTTAGCTGAAGCAGAGGCCAAAGCAGTGTGTTGGGGACAGTACCTCGCCCCTCAACTACCAAGACCCTCCTTTCCAGCAACACGGGTCTCCACATACGGCAAACATGTGGACAGTTTTCTCACCACTCGAAAACTAGAGAAAAGAACTGTTCCAGTTTCTCGTGACGAGCCCCAATCTCCGAAGAGGAAAACCTCAAGGAAGAATGGAAGGAAAAAAAGTTTCAGCTCAGAGGAGAGGAGACGGAAGAGAGGATAGATCACTGGGGCCCCAAGATCGTGACACCCATCTCACCAAGAAGATGATCTCCTGAAGGGCTAGGGTACCTCGGGATTGCCACACCCGTACTTACAAGAGTGAGTCCCGAGGGATGATAGAAAGAAGAAATAACTTAAAGAATTAAGTCTATTGTGCTTTATTTTTGTCTATTAATTAAGAAGACTTAAAAAGAATGATTAAAGTTAGAATTTTATGCCATATATATATTCTCTAGAGATAATGAGCAAGTAAGTCAATGAAGCAAAGGGATTAGTGAACAGACTTTAACCAAATCAGAGTTTACTCAAAATATTAAACAAAGCACATTTGGTTATTTTCTGCTAATTTTCTGCCAAATATGTAAGAAAGCAGCAAATGTGATAGCATGTCATGTCATGAATACATGTACAGGATTTGATGTGCAGAATGTTAAAGTTATGTGTGAGGCTGTGGATGTGACTTCCTGTAACTCTCTTATATTTTCCCCATGCATTATATGTTTTTGATTATAAAAATTCAGATAACTCCACAAATTCAGCATCAAGCACACTAAACATTATATATATTATATAGTATTTATTCATTACAGTTACAACTCTTGTGATGGGACAACTTCCGTCCTAAGGTGAATTTACCAATCAGAATTAAGTGCCGTCCCACCAACTTTTTTTATCTACAATGCTTTGACCCCATGGCCCAGGGGCAGACAAGGTAGTACCAGTACGGTCCCTGCTGAGCCTTACACTGTCCCGAGTACACTCAGGCACATTCTGTGAAGACTGATTTTATACCCTCATGGTTGAGACTGTCTTAAGTACAGATCTTATCCAATACTTCCCAGGAATTCTCCTGAGTCAACCCCCGAGGGGATCATTACAGTTACAGCAAGTTTATTTATTTTTTTTTCCCCCATAAAACTTTACGTCTCATTAGGGTTTCTTTAATCTAGTTAGATTTTGTGACAACATTAACATTTCATGCCAAGTGGAGTTCTATTAGAAAAATACAGTATATTTTCAGAGGGGAAAAAATATTTGTTTTGATAATCTTTAGAAAAACTTCTTCCAAATATAAAAATTTTGCATTGTTGTCATTTCCCATTTCATTTTGCTTTAATTTTTCATTTATTGTTGCCAAATAAATTAATAAAAGTTGAGACTCTCTTTAACTATTGACCAATTATAATTTCTTTATATTTATTCTAATACTAAAAACTGCCTAATACTCTGAATTGAAGTTTATTACAGAAATACTAGAAAATTTATTACAAAAAAATTACCTAAACTATATAAAAACAAATAGAATTAATTACTTCAGGCGTTTTAGACCAATGAAGAGGTGTTCCACCATGCTTTATATCACTGTTAAAAAATCGATTGCTGTATGTGTCCAGCACATCTTTCATGCACCTAAATTGCAAAACAATATAATTAAAACAATAAATTTTAACATAATTCATGATTTTTTAAATCGGTATTTGTCCATTTCATTAATCTCAGACAATGTATTCTTTTGTTTTTAGAAAGAAAGAACACAAACAAAAAATTTAATACAACCTATTTCCTAAATAATTAGATTAAAAATTAAGAATAATATTAATTCATTATTATTACCTTGATGGTGAATCAGAATTAGTTGACAAATTTTCCTCTTTTAATGCCACACGTAAGTTCACATCAACTCCTGCTTTAAGGAGTTCCATAACACATTCAGTTTTATCAGCCATACAAGCCAAATGAAATGGAGTAAAACCTTTATTATTAAAAATATTTATAATTGAATGGACAGGTTTTCTTGTCAATACCTAAAATGAAAATGTTTAAAAACACTTAATGCATCACTTGACACAAATTTTTGATTTACCACTTGGTATTTTAAGAAGAACATCTAAAATTTAAGATATATGGACTACAAAAGCTCAACCAATATGATAGAAAAGTCATAATTTTACATTAGTCTTTGCCTAAAATAGTAGTTCCGTTTGATAGTTTTTTTAATTTAAATAAAAATAGTAGTAGTATGATTACTGAACTCATTTGTGCACACTAACGTTCTTTATAAAAAAAAAAAGCCAGAAATAATATATATAGTTATTCCTATATGAATAATGTATTTTCATATCAATTTCAATCTAGATGTTCATCAAAAGAAAGAAGCAGGAAACAGTAATAAATACTACAGCATATAGGTTTAATACATGGAGAACACTGTGGGGGAAAAAAAGGGATTTAAGTTCAAATCTGAGATTTCATTTTTTATTTCAAAGAAAAAACATATAGACGACTATGTTTCATACAATTTTAATAGTGATATTCAAAAACGCAAGAAACTATAATGATAACACTCAACAACTGATAGAGGTTGTTGCATAAATACAAACATTGTGTTCCAGAAAAAAGGCAACTAATTTCCTTTCCAAGGGCTTGCAGCACTATCTCTGAAGCAACATATAGAAAATATTTTAGTTAATCACGAAAAAAAAAAAAAATTAAGGTATGACAAATAATAGTACCATTTGTACCTTTCTACAAGCTAACATAAAATTTTGTTCAAAAATTCAGCAAAACTGTGACTGAAATATCTCTATTCATTTTAACTGTTTATGTCATTGATGATAAGTTGCAAAAGTGCTTTTCAAATATTTTACAATTTGAGGCTTCAAAATGGCAAAAGTTCATGATCATAAGGGCAACACTTAAGACAATACATGGATTAGTTAGTTTTTAAAAAAAAGACACTGAAAATGACCTGCCAGTAAAACTTAGTGAAAGACTCAGTGGCATTCCTAAAACCACTTTCCATCATACTTTAACATAAGACTTAAAAAGCAGAAGACTTTCTGCTTTGGTAATTGACAACTGATGAAGAAACTGTAAGAATAGAACAGTGCAGAACCATACAAGGAACCACTATTTAAATATCCAGAATTCTTGCCAACCACTATCACAAGAGATGAACTACGGTATTTTCTTTGAATGATCAAACAAGTGCCAGAAAGTAGAATTTATTTATTTACTACGGTATTTCTGCGACATGAATTTATTTAAGACACATTATTTATTTAAGACAATTTATTGTTGTTTGACTTCTGAATTAGTATGAATTTATTTATTTAGCTGCAAGTTAAAAAAGAAAATAATAATATCAAAACATTGTCTTAAAAGGCATTATTTACTAGGAATAGAGTCTTGAATGATTAGCAATAAACACTAACAATTGTTTAGAGGCTTTGATTTCCCTGTGTTTTCTGCGACATGAATACCATAAAAAACTCACGACTTACAGCAAGGATGTCAAACTCGTGGCCCGCGGGCCGCATGGGGGCCCACAACAAATATTTTTGCGGCCCGGCCAATATATCGGCAAATAATAATATATAATAATAAAATAACATATCGATGAAGAAAAAAATGAAATGTTTACTGCTAAGTAATTAACGAAAATTTATTCAGTGTTGTTAGATTACTCACAGCGAGCTGACACACACACTACTTAAATTGCAAATGCGTGTGAGTAGCTTGCATTCAGCTACCTTCGGCTTTTGGGGGACATATGCACTCAGACTTGTACGCATCCCCCAATAGCCGAATGTGGCCGAACTCATGGTCTCAGTTTTCCAATCATAGTTTTGTACAATATATTGGTGCATGCACTTTGTTTTATTATTAATTATTACTTAATTCATATTGTTACGGATTTCATAGTTATTTATTTATTTAGTTTTTTTTTTATTTAGAATTGTAATTAGATTTGCTTCATGTTGCCTTAGCAATGCAGACGATTTTTGAAAAGACAGCTGCGTTGGAAGGTTAAAAATAGAACAGCTCGAGCATTTAATACCTATTAAATAAATATCTCGTAATTGCTGTTGCCATCCACAAAAATCCAGATATTTATAGATGTTTCCAGTATATTTCAGAAATTAATTATAAAGCTTATAAAAGCCAAGAACAAACAACTCATCTCAGTAGTAGCTGTAGTTCTAGTGAACTGTTTGTTTACTTAATGCTGTGATTGATTTGTAGCGATTTCGCTGTGAGATAGAATTAGTTTCTCAGTTTTGAATTGATTTTTGCTAAACGTTTGACATTTTGTGGTATTGTTAGAATATTTTTGAAGAAATATTTCAGCATTTTGATTTAGCATTTTGACTTGTGTTTTTGGACTTCTGCAGAAATACAATCTACCTTTGGCAAAATTAAATTCCGTAGCTACAGTTGGCGCTCCATCAATGACCGGGAAAAACAAGGGCTTCGTAGAATTACTAAGAAAAAAACTTAGTGAAATTAACGGTTCAAACATTCATCATATGCATTGTATTATACATCAAGAAGTTCTATGCACGAAAGTAACAAATATGGAGAATGTTTTGTCATATATAAAAAAAAGTTATAAATTTTATAAGATCTCGAGGTTTAAATCAGCGTCAATTCACTGCTTTCTTAAGTGAGTTAGTGAATATTCGGGTTTGTCCTACTATACCGAGGTACGTTGGTTATCTTGCTCCAAGATTCTCAAACAATTCTGGGATTTGAAAGAAGAAATATGTCAGTTTTTTAAAAACGAAAAATCAAGACGTAAGTTTGTTTTACGATCCAATATGGATACAAGATTTATCTTTCTTGGTTGATATAACCAAACACTTAACCGATTTAAATTTATCGTTACAAGGAAAAGATCATATCATTACGAACATGTTTGACATAATTAAAGCATTCAAATGTCAACTAGTTCTTTGGGAAAAAAACACTTAAAAAAAAATGAAGATTTGACGCACTTCCCGACGTGCAGCATGAACAAATCAAGTTTAGATGATACTTGTTCGTATCCAAAAATACGCAGAAGGAATTGCAAATTTAACAACTGAATTTGAAACGAGGTTTAATGATTTTAGTTCCCTCGAAGACAATTTTTTTTTTTTTTTTTTTTGTTTTCTTCGATTTTCTCAATAAGTATTGACTCAGTACCCAGCCATATGCAAATGGAGGTGATCGAGATTCAATGCAACTCAAATTTGAAAGCAAAATTCATTGAAGTGGGCGTGCCTGAATTTTACAAATATTTACCAGCCAGGTTTGAAAATACTCGAAAATTCGCATATGAAATTATTTCCATGTTTGGTAGCACTTATCGGTGCAAGCAGTTATTTTCAGTCATGAAAGGTAATAAGTCTCCTATTAGAAACCGTATTAATGATGCTCACCTTGGGTCAGCGTTGAAAGTTATCACTGCAAACAAAATTTCTCCCGAAATAGGAAAGATAATAGCAGAGAAGAGATGTCAAGTATCAGGACGTAAACATTAAATTTTTCTTGTTCTTTTCTATATAAATATATATATATGTGTTTATTATTGTATTATTCGAAATAAATCTACGTTTCTATGAATTTTGGATTTTTTTTTTTTTTTTTTTTGCCCGCCTAAAGTTAAACCTTGTTTGTTTGTCCCAAGTGTACCTATGAGCTTGACATCCTTGACTTACAGCCTTTATCAACTATTATTGCACAATAAAGCATTGACATATAATGACAAGACTGTAAGTGATATTTTTTGGCAAGGGGGGGGAAGGTAAATAAGCATTAAAACACTTCAGCCATTTGCTAGATTCTACATAATTAGCTCCTGCTGACTTTCCTTTTTTTTGAAAGTAAAGCTGATCATTGAAGGACTACATCATTGTTCATATTCAGGATATCCAATATATATTGGATATCCTGAATATGAACAATATATTGTGACAAGGAGATTTTTGAGATTCTAATAGAAGATTTTAAAGACTGCTTCAAACAGTTTCACATTCATTTCCAATTTACATCACAAGAAGACAGCTTTGAGTAGTCAATTATAAAAGAAAATACAAATAATTCCTTGTGATTTATTTGGTATACCGTATACACTTATGTAATGTCTGCACCCCAACTTTACAGATAAAATTTATGTAAAAAAAAAAAAAAAAAAAAAATTACCCATGTCCACACCCCAAAAACTAAAGAACTTCTTACTTTAAAATATATTGTAAAGATCATGACTTGTGAAGAACGTGAAATATAACTAATAGGACAAGAACTTGCATTTTACGGTGTGGCAACAAGAAGAGGATTCGAAAGATTTTATATATATATATATATTTTTTAGAGAGTTTTAGGATTTTGAATATTTTAATAGTTGTAAGAGTTTTAACTGCAGTAGTTAAGAGTTTAAAATTTTGATAGTTAAGAGCTGCAGTATTTATTTTTTTGGTTCTGTTTTAAAATTTAAATAAAAGTATTTTGTTTATTCTGAAAAATTAGCTTTATTCTTCCTACAAGATTCAATATTCATTATATCGAAATAAGGAAGGGATCTTTACTGGCGCAGTCGACAGGATCGGGATTTCCCCGCATATAATTACAAACCAAAATAACTCAGGTGAGAGCTCAATTTACCTTGTTTAACGTAAAATAATTAATTAAGATTATGAAAAGTTAATTATGTTTCCGTCATGGAATATTATTAGTTTATTTACTTGTCAAAGTAATGAATACGCCAGTGTTCAAATGTAATTTCGTTTGACTCGCCAGAGTAAGTGAACAACACATTAAGTATTGATTCCACTGATTGATTTTCGTGCCGAATAAAATTAAATTCATTGTGAATTATATTTAAATAGAAAATAAGAGAGAAAAAAAAATTGTTTTTTTTTTTTTAAACTAAGAGTCTATTGGCTGAATAAAATCGAGACATGGCTTTTATGGGACGTGGGAAAAAAGAGGATTTGCTAGTTTTAGCTGCTGAATTAGAAATTCAAGTAGATCCAAGTATGAA